CCGGGTCCGGGACACGAACCGCGGTCGACTACGTGGGAGTCCAGCGACATAGCCATTACGCTAACTGCTGGTTCCCTGTGTTCACTTTTGAGACAGAGAGAGAAAGTGAGAAATCATCCCTCAGGGAAGATGGCCACGTTGCAGTCCCTTCTCCATTTTCTTCTTGGGATTTTGGGCACTCATGCACATGGGCCCAGCATAAGTTTCAAGCCTGCAAGTCTGGGACTCGAACTGTAGTTGGTCATGTGGGAGTCCAACACCTTAACCACTACCCCACCTGCTGGCCCCCTAATTCCGTGTTACATAGAGCCAGGATTCCTGACTATGGAGAGCCTAGAAGATTGGCCTTCATCTAGCCACGAATCCAAGACGGAAGGTGAAGAAGGCACCATGAAAAGCTTTCCTTCTGTAACAACCTGCTCAGCTCTGCTCACCACCAGCTTTGCACCCAAATCTTACCTCGTCTGAGCAGTGCAGCTGGAGTTGAGGATCTAGTCGGTAATCGAGAGCAGACTCCTGGATAATAATCCGGATCTGGTCTTCACAGTCTGAGGAAAGGCGCTGCACACAACAAAGGGAAAGATATCAGAGTCTATCAAACATCAGCTTTCATGTGGCCCCTTTGCCTCCAGCTTGGAGAAGGGATGAAAAAGGACTTGGGAAAATAGGAGCAACCTAGGGACTTCAAAAGGGCAAATTCCCAGGGACAGGGACAGAGGTAACTCCAAAGTGCATCCTTGTGGAGGGCCTGGACCAGTTTACCTGGTCAGCATATCTTAGCTTGAGGCAAGAGATGACTTGGCCTTCCAGCTCCGAATCATCCTTGGCTTTGGTCAGGATACCGTGGCAGAACTTAGGAATGTCAGCTTTGCAGGCTTTCCTTAGCACAGGGTTTAAGCGGTAATCTAGAGCAGAGAGCAGTAAGCGCATGATAAATACTCCACCCAGATCCACAGAGTTTTTAGAGATGCACCTTCTAAAAGAGGGCATAGCAGGACTGCCAGGTGACATGGTAGTTAAGGTATTGGACTCTCACATGGCTGACCACAGTTTGACTCCCAGACTTGATAGGTTGCTTTCTCAATCTTCCCCTCTTCCCTTTCTGTATCTCTTTCTGGTCAAATTAAATACTGCTGGTTCCCTAAGTAAAAAACATTTAAAGTTCAGTACTATTTAAAAAAAAAAAAAAATAAGAGGGCATAGCACATTGATGACACTGACCACAACCACTGACTTTAATTCAAGGACTGTGTCCTTACCACACTTTTTTTTTTTAATGATTATTTTATTATAGGGGCTGGCAGATGGCGTGGTGGTTAAGGGCACTGGACTTCTACATGGCTGACCATGGTTTGAGTACTAGACCTGGTGGCTTGCTTTCTCACTTTTCTTCTTTCTGTTTCTCTCTGGTCAAAGTAAAAGAAAGAGAGGAAGAAAGAAAGTTGAATAAAATGATTCTTCCAAATAAAAATGAATTATTTTATTTCTTATTATTATTTTAATTTGACCAGAGAGAGGGAAAGTGAGAAAGCAAGCTGCCAGATCTGGGACTCAAACCATAGTCAGCCATGTGGGAGTTCAGTGCCCTTAACCATTAAACCACCTGCTGGCCCCCACCACACTTTTCTGTTTTTTAAATGATTATTTAATTTTATTTATTCATTTATTTATTTTAATTTGACCAGAGAGATACACACAAAGAGAGAGGGAAAGTGAGAAAGCAAGCCACCAGGTCCAGGACTAGAACCATGGTCGGCCATGTGGGAGTGTCTAGAACCTTAACCACAACACCACCTGCAGGTCCCCCTACCACACTGTTTTTAATCAGCACCGTGATTCCATTCAAGAGGATTTCTAGGTGGACTTCTGGGCTGTCCAGAAATTGTACTTTGCAATACCTCTGTAGGTTTTTGTAATCTAATATTCTAAGTAGTCCTCACCAAAAAAAACCCAAAAAACAAAAAAAAACAAAACAAAATAACAAGTAGATATCAGCAACCTTCCCCATAACGAACATGTTTGAAAACATTGAGAAGGAAATCTCTAATTCACTTCGCCTGTTAAGTTACAAGTTTTGTAATTTAGGGCCAACATTTCTGTGCTCTAAAACAGGTTACCCATACATCTTCCTGACACACTCAGAAAGTTTTATTTTATTTAATTAATTAATCTGAGAGGTTCTTGCTATAGGGCACATGTGCTCACCAGAGAGATAGAGAGACAGAAAGCAAGAAATCACCCCCTCGGGGGGAGGGCCACACCACAACCCCTTCTCCATTCTCCTCTCAGGATCTTGAGCAAGCATGCATACGTGCCCAGCGTGAGTTTAAGCCAGCGGGTCCAGGACTTGAACCATGGCCGCCTACATGGAAGTCCAGTGACACAGCCATTATGCCAACTGCTGGTGCCAGGAAGTTTTATTAAAGATCTAGATTTTTCATTTCAAGGAATGCTAGCTCAGATGTCTTCTATATGTTCTTCGAGGGCAGTTTTCTAGTTTTTATCAGTCTCATCTTTCCCCTGATGTTCATTCTGTTTTTCTGGATATTCTTCTAAAGAGGAGTATATCATTTTGCTTACATAGATACATCTCCCTTAAAATTCATGGGAAACAAAGCATCTGCCGTTTAATTAGGTAATTATACTAAATCCCGTTTATGCTTCACTCAACGGGACAAGGAAAGCCATGCTGAGATGCTACCTGTGTTCTGGGTGATCTGGCGCTTGGTTATCATCTGTTTGCATTTGGGATCCATCAGCTCACTGTTTTTATTTTGCTTCAAGCACTGCAACATGGTTTTTGAATCTGCCTCTGGACAGAATCTCTGCAAAGAAACAACAGTATTAAAAAACAACCATCCAGGCATGGCAATTTACTCCATCTGGAATGACTTTCACAGCTATCTGAGTTTATGAGAAGGCAGCCGACGGGTTCCACTTGGCACAGTAACAGCTGAGCCTGGGTGCACACCCAGCCCACATGCCCCCTTTCTCTGCTCCTGTGTTTCTCATTCTCTCTCCACTACCTCAGTGGTTCCTCCTTTGCAAGGAACCGATCCCCTGTCTACATGGCTATGTTAAGTTACATGGCATCTCATGAATTTAATGATTAAGCTAAGCATGAATATAACACCACCAGGTGGCCGTCTAGGCCTCAAGCCATATCCCTCCATGCGCAGAGGAAAAACCTAGGAATTACCCAGCAACTAACGTCAATGGGGATGTAATGTTAAGGACCCAACTGGGCCATCTTAACTACAGGGGCTATAATCCTACCAAACAGGATGGACCTGGCCGCTGTAGCTTATCATTTTCCATAAGCCCGAGATTACAACTGAACTAGTAATAAACTCTATCTGCTAAACCACCAGGTCTGGGACTTGAACCTTGGTTGGCCATGTGGGAGTCCAGTACCCCCAACCACCACACCACCTACCAGCCCTTCAACTGTTTAAATCTCTAACATTTGAAACTCTCTTTGAAAGTTTTTTGATAGGGTGAAAAGTAGCACTTTCTTCTAAAGGAAAGCTGAAATGAGATGTTGGAACCTTCAGTTCAATCTCATTGTATATGTGAATAGAACAAGAAATTGATGTCTTGGTACCCAAGGTAGCCCCAATACAGGGAATATTCACTGGAAGAGTAAATGAAGCCAAAGAACTTGTGGAACAGAAAAACCTTCTGAGTGTGGTACACGGATGATTAGGACATTCAACGACAGCTTTCTCAGTACACCTACCATTAAACACTCCCAAATACAATCATCTATTTATTTTTCAGTGCCTCTGGTTAAAATAAGTTAAGTTGTCTTAGAGCTGTAGTTTTCAATTTTGAGCATGCCATCAGCATCCCCTGGAGGGCTTGTTAAAACAGACTGCCCATCCCACTCCCAGAGCTTCTGATTCAGGAGGGGAGGAGAGACCCAGGAATCTATATGTCCCCAGCAGAAGCCAATATTGCTGGTCTAGGGACCACACTTTGAGACCATCATCTTAGCTGTAAAAAACAGGCTGAAGCTCCAAGACGTGCATGGGGTTGCTTTTCCTTCCACCGTGCTTGTCCTTGGCCCAGGAGCCCTACCTTTATCATCTGTTTGCAGACTCTCATGAGCGTGTAGTCCAGTTCTGGGTCCATCATCTCTGTCTCCTGCAGCTTAAATACTTTCTGGTGGCAACGAGCACTTAGCTGCTTCTTGTTTTCTTTCAGACATTCGATAATCTATGGCACACAAGTGATGGTCAAGTTGAAGGCTCTATCAGAAATTGATCATTCTTATTTTCTTAACAAAGCATTCTGTTCTTAGTGTACACTGTGACCCCTCTACCACATCTTTCTACCTGAGCACCTTTTATTTCTAATTTCTAGGTGATAAAAATCAGGGTTTCATCACCAAAAAGAATTATACTTAGAGGTTTACAATTTTAGGATCAATGGCAAACCAAACTGTATGAAAATTGAGGATGACTAGCAGGCTGCACTAGAGTCTAAAGGAAAGGAAATCGACTCTGGATTCCTGGTGTCTTTTGTTTTCTAGACCTGTTCCTTATTAAGATCCCTCTTGAAGCAAACTTTAGCATGTTTTTTTGCACGTTCCTGGAGCAATGCTGGCTAGAAATAAGCATAGATAGGAGGGTCAAATTTAACTCACTATTCACACATGAGAATACAAAGTTAGATGTGAGGTATGAATCAGACCCAGGCCCTACCCTGTCAAATGCACGGTCTCACAGGGCAAAGTTAGATAAATAACTTCAATACAGGGACCAGCAGATGGTGTAGTGGTTACGTCACTGGACTCCCAAATGGCTGACCATGGATAGAGTCTTGGTCCTGGTGGCATGATATTCATGCCAGGCACATGAGCGTGTGCGCGCCCAAAATCCCAAAATTGGTCCTGGTGGCATGATATTCATGCCAGGCATGTGAGCCTGTGTGCGCCCAAAATCCCAAAACGAGAAGGGAGAAGGGATTGCAGCAAGGCCATCTCCCCTAGCGGGGGTGGTTTCTCATTTAAATACAATTAAATAAATAATTATTTAAAAAAACAAAACAAAACAAAACAAAAACGAAACTATGTGGGAGTCCAGCGATGTAACCATTATGCCATCTGCTGGTCTTGGGATGGACGTTTCTTTCTTTCTGTCTCTCCGGTGAGTACAAGCACCCTATATAAAAAGTATCTCTTAAACAAAAATACCAAAAAACTACAATGAAAAAGATGAGTGGTAATATAAAAGTATAAAGTGTCATGGAATGGATTTTACTTATTTTGAGAGATTTTTGCTATAGAGCACATGTACTTGCCAGACAGAGAGACAGAGAGACAGAAAGTGAGAAATCACCTCCTGGGGAGATGGTCACATTGGTATCCTTTCTCTATCACTCTTCTCTTGGGACTTTGGGCATGCATGCACACATGCCTGGCTGAGTTTTAAGTCGCTGGGGCCAGGACTCAAAATGCAGTCAACTATGTGGGAGACCAGGGCCAGCAGGTGGTGTGGTGGTTGAGGTGCTGGACTCCCACATGGCCGACTGCACTTCAAGTCCCGGACCTGATGGCTTACTATCTCCCTCTCCCTCTCTGTCTCTCTGGTCAAAAATTTAAATAAATACAATTAAATAAATAATTCTTTAAAAACAAAAACAAAACTATGTGGGAGTCCAGTGATGTAACCATTATGCCATCTGCTGGTCTTGGGATGGACGTTTTTTAAAGGAATCATTTAATTCTCTTTGGTATTATTATTATTAGCTTTTAATTTGACCAGAGAGAGAGAAAGGAAAGGGAAAGTGAGAAAGTAAGCCACCAGGTCCAGGACTCAAACTGTGGTCAGCCATGTGGGAGTCTAGTGCCTTTATCCACCACACCACCTGATGGTCTCAGTCCTGGCATGGATTTTAAGATAGTGAATTAAAGGGCTAGCCGGTTGTGTGGTGGATAAGACATGGTTGACTTTGTGATTTGAGCCCCAAACATGGCAGCTTGAAAAACATGCTGGGCGTGTGTTATGCATGACCAAAATCCTGAGAAAGGAGATGAGACTGCAGTGTGGCCATCACCCTAAGAAGGTGATTTCTCACTTTCCCCTCTCTCTACATCTCTCTCCAGCAAGTGCATTCGCCCTATGGCAAAACAAATAAACAGACAGATCGTGAATGAAGGGTTAGCCAGTGGTGTGGTGTTTAAGGCAGCTGAATCCCACATGGTTGACTGCAGTTTGATTCCTAGACCTGGTGGCCTGAAAACCACAACACATGTATGTGTGCCCAAAGATCAAAGGGGGAAATGGAACAGAAAGGAAAGCGGCATGACGGCATGACCATCTTCCACCGGGAGTGCTTTGTCACTTTTCCTCTCCTGCTCTCTAATGAGTGCATGTGACCTCTGGCAAATTAAAAAAAAAAAAAAAAAAGGTAATGAATTAAAATATATATCCTGAAATCTTCTCTATCTTATAGCAAAATTTTATATATAATAAAATAATACAAAGAAGCAAAGCAGGTAAGAAAGCTGCAGCAGCTAGGGCTGTAGCAAAAGCCATGAGACTTCCATGAACTCATCAAGACACAACCAGGAATCAATTTCTTTTTTTCTTTGAATTATTTATTTTATTTATTATTATTACTGTCTTTAATTTGATCAGAGAGAGAGAGAGAGAAAGGGAAAGTGAGAAAGCAAGCCACCAGGTCCAGGATTCGAACTGCAGTCAGCCATGTGGAAGTGTCCAGCAACTTAACCAGCATGCTACCTGCTGGTCCCCCAGTAAAATAATTCTTTAAAAACAAAAACATTTTATTTTATTTATTTATTTTGGGAGAGGTGTTTGCTATAGGGTGTGTGTGATTGCCAGAAAGACAGAGAGAGACAGAAAGTGAGAGAGAAGTCACCCCCCAGGAGGGATGGCAACATCACAATCCCTTCTCCTCCCTTCTCCTCTCTGGATCCTGGGCACTCACCCACATGTGGCGGCATGAGTCTAAGCCACCGGGTCCAGGATCCAAACCATGGTTGACCACATGGGAGGCC